GGATATATATAAAAGATTGTACACCCGACAAGTAAAAAACTTGAAAATGCGGCTTGGGCAAAAAAGGGTATCCCGGTGGATTGAAAACCCGAAAGGGTAGTCCAGGAAAAAGTCAGGGATTAAAGCATACGACTATGTCCCCATTAGATCACTTACAGTAAGCTTTATTACAAAAGTCAAACTTCAAATGGTACAGATCAGTTCAATCAACTTCTTCCGACAGTAAAGGATGAGATGCTTGAAGACATAAGGGGCAATAGCAGAGTTGGAACCCGACGAGATTATTTCCACATAACTATTATCTTGTTCTCACTTTTTACTCTTTTCATTTCACGACGATTTCATCTTATTAGGATTTTTGTCTCTTTGTACAAAATCGTCTGTTTATGGGCAAACTATCAATAGAAATACAAATCTCAAAATTCAAACTTTTTGTTTTTACTTTTTCTGTTTTGTTTGCAAAAACGTCCAATGACTAAAATTGAATGAACATATGCATATGAACAAGATTAAGTGTTAACAAATATATGCATAAAAACAGGAATAAGCATTTACTCAAGACTCTAGGAGTTAGGATAACGTTCAAGCTGTCCACAAATCCCCACAAAGCCACTTCCATGGGATTATCCCCACAGAGTAGTCTTATCATACTCACCAGCAAATTCCCCCAGCGGATAAAGAAATATAATCTCTTTCTTGGAAATATCTCCCACCTACGGAGTTCCAATCAGTGCAGTTCACGAAAATTCTCTACCCCAGCTAAATTTATTCCTCCAGAACTGTAAATCCCCTGCAGATTTCTTTTCTCCAGCATAGCTTCTTTCCTCAGCAAGGGTGTTTCCTCAGTAGAGTGTTTCTCCACCAACATGGTTTATTTCCTCAACAGGGTTTATTTCCCCAAAAGATTACAGTCTCCCCAACTTGAGTTTGCTTCTACCACAAATTACCGGTAAGATTCCCATCTCTAGAAAAGGACAGTCTGGGTTGCTATCCCCAGAGAGTTGATACTGAATCTGAAACTGGATCAAATATCGTTCAAACCTTATTCTTTCCAAAGGAGTCGGTATCCATATCAGAAACTTGATCAGACAGTACCTCGAAAGCTTATCCATCTTTCTTATCCCCAATCAGGGTATACAAGAACTATAATCCCCAACAGGGCAATGAATAACCAATGTTCTTGGACTCTTCTCTCCAAAACAAGAATCAACATTCTCCAGCAGAGTTTTCTCAAGAAGAAAGCAGGAATTCCCATCAAGATCGAAGATACACATATTCTTCATCCCTAACAACAGTCAGGGATTTATTTCCCCAGAAAAAGATGCTACACAAGTTTACAACAACGTTTCACATTCATATATCTTTTACGAACAACATAGAATATTCATACAAAACGCATATAACACGCTCTCATTTATTTTGAGAACATTATTACGCAATGCATTTCATACATCATGGCATTGCATACATCCAACTCTTTACCTTTTCAGGAAAAGTCAATCAACAGACAAACATCACCAACTACTTGTATGACCAGACAGTCTTCTCAAAGGCTATATCTGACAAATGGTTACCTAAGAAATTTCCTCAGAGGGTCATTCTCAAAGAAACATATTTCCTAGTTAAAGTCGGACGTAAACATCTTCTGGCTCAGATTAAATCAGGTATAGGTTTATTCTGATACTTCTTCTAGTTAAAATCGATTATAGGCATCTTCTTGCTCAGATTCAATCAAGCATTGATTTATTCTGATAATTCTTCTAGATAAAGACGAGTGTGGGTATCTTCTGGCTCAGATTAAATCGAGCATAGATTTATTCTCATACTTATTCCAATTGAAGACGATCATAGACATTTTCTGGCTCAGATTAAATCGAGTGTAGATTTATTCTGATACTTCTTCTAGTCAAAGTCAGGCGAAGACATTTTCTGGCTCAGATTAAATCAACCGTAGATTTATTTGATATTTCTCCTAGTTAAGGTCAAACATAAACATCTACTGGCTCATATTAAATCAAGCTTAGATTTATTTAGATACTTCTTCCAGTTGAAGACGAGTGTAAATATCTTCTGACTCAGTTTAAATCGAGCATAGATTTATTCTGATACTTCTTCCAATTGAAGACGGTCGTAGACATTTTCTGGCACAAATTAAATCGAGCATAGATTTATTATGATACTTCTTCCAGTTAAAGTCAAGCATAAAAATCTGTTGGCTCAGATTAAATTGAGCGTAGATTTATTCTGATACTTCTTCTAGTTGAAGGCGAGCGTAAATATGTTCTGGCTCAGTTTAAATCGAGCGTAGATTTATTCTGATACTTCTTCCAGTTGAAGACAGTCGTAAATAAACAATTTGTATGTGTTCTCAACGACACGAGAATCATTACAAAGTTTGTCGAACTTAGGCATTTTCAAAATATTTTCAAACACACTTTCACAAAGCATTTCAAAGTGAGCTAGCGATTAAGAGCCTGTAGATAACTACGAATGAAAAGGGTACTAACACCTTCCCTTTTCATAACCTACCCCCCTTACTCAGAAAAATTCTCAAAAGGTCTTTCCTGTTCTTTTCACCCTTTCTTTTATTGGATAAATCCCTACAAGCAGCTAACATGGTCAAGTGAACAACTTGTTCGTACGTTATGGTCAAAAATAGACTATATCGACGAGGATTCTTTGTTTCTCTTCTCAAATGTGTCGAGGAGACCAGAGTCACCTACATCCTATAAGAAATCCAGGAAGGAATTCATGTCCAGCACCTCAGAGGAAGGTCCCTCGCGAGGAAATCCCTACAAGCAGGATATTACTGGTCCACCATGCAACACGACACAAAAGAGCATGAAAAAAGATGCGACAAATGCCAACGCCACAGGGATATGCACTCAGCACCACCAAATGAGCTCAAGTCCCTTTCTTCCCCATGGTCCTTCGCGTGGTAGGGACTAGACATCCTCAAGCCATTTGTCGTAGGATCAAGCCATAAATGGTATCTGATAGTAGGTGTGGACTACTTCATAAAATAGATAGAAGCAGAGGTACTAGCCACAATAACAGAACAAAACATACTCTGTTTCTACAAATGAAACATACTTGCTCGATTTGCCATACCTCAAGTCATTATCACCGATAACGAAACACAATTCACAGACAAGAATTTCCAAGAATTCATCACCAAACTGGGCACCGTTCAACACTTTGCTTCTGTAGTGCACCCTCAAACAAACGAGAGTTGAAGCTATGAACAAGATGATCCTATGAGGCCTCAAATGAAGGCTTGACGAAACAAAAAGGAAGTGGTTCGAGGAGTAGCACATCATGCTTTGGGCCTACCGAACAACTCCTCACTCGACCACTAGGGAAACGTCATCCCGTCTAGCATACAACACAAAAGCAGTTACCCCGATGGAAATTAGAGATCCATCCAGACAAACTAAAGCCCCTCTCGACGAGGAAATGAATGACGAGGCACTGTGAGGAAATCTACCTTATCGAGGAAGTTCGATCAGGGGCAACCCTTCAAGAGGCCTCGCTAAAATAAAGAATCTACCTCCGTCATGACGCCAAGGTCATACGACGAGATTTCGAAGTTGGCAGCCTAGTCCTGAAGAGAAATCACAAATATTCTCACGAAGGCAAACTCGCCGTAAATTTGGAAGACCCCTATCGCGATTGAGCAAAAACGGGTAGCGGGGCCTACAACCTCAAAAACTTACACGGGGAACAACTTGCTCGACCTTGGAACACCAAAAAACTGAAACAATGTTACAGTTAAGGCACATAAATAGTTGGCGTGCTCTGTCAAAACGCCGAACACAATAGCCTCGACCACATATGTGTTCTCAGGGACAAGCATGTCACCTCGATATGAATGAAATGGCGAGTTTCCACTCTTTAACGAGTAGATCCTCAGCCCGACGGGAAAAACTCAAACGCGCTCCATCGTCGTCGTACCATGATGGAAGAACACCTAGCTCATGATAGGAAGTTCACGCTGCCAAGTTCGGATCTCAATCAACGAAATTCGGACTCAACCCACTGCCCGAAAAATAATCACGACCATTTGACAAGTTCTCCACACTTACAGATATCGATATTATCGAGAAAATCCTCAAACATACTTAGCCGAACATAAATAAACGTCTCCGACAGACAAGCATACAAGCGCATGTGAAACTTAACAAAAGGCATAAATACAAACCATATATATATATATATATATATATATATATATATATATATATATATATATATATATATATATATATATATATATATATATATATATATATATATATATATATATATATATATATATATATATAAAAGTAAATAGAAAATTAAAATCAAAACGACCGCGGGCAACTTATAGATGCTTTTATGTATACATATTTGCCAATTAAAAAAATAATTTTATGTTATTACCAAAAGTTTATTGATCCTCCAGTAACTTATAGATGATAGTAACTTAATTGAACAATAACTTAACCGCAAAATAATCCATACAAACCGTTAATCCATAACATATCAATTGAAAATAATAAATTGCAAATTGCCATTGCAAATACTAACATACATTTAGGGAAATAACTGTGACAATTGACAAGTGAGTCTTTGTGTGTTCACCATGGTTTTAAAAAAGGTTTGTTACTGTAAAAATAACCGTCACAAAACGATTTTAGAAGATATCTTATAATTAATTTACATCGTAACAATTACAATACATTCATATCGATCAAAATCACAAAAATCATTATGCAACCATGACGCTGACAGGTACTGTTTATTAAAACATTACTGTTGACAAATAAATTACTATAAAACGGTTACTTTGTTTGCTCTTTTTAGGAAAATACAGTTTTCTTCCTTTCTTTCCCAAAATATACAGTTTCTAGTTTCAAGAATCTAATCATTAACACAACTCTTGTTATTTAGCTTCTAATAATTAATTAGCCTCTCTCTCAAAAGTTTATCCTTTCATTCTCTTCACCCACACAATAATGACCTTAGATGCAGTGGCTTTTCCATACAAAACATTAACTCACGGTTCCAAAGATTACTTGTATTCATTAGTTGAAACTGTTGCAAGTGAAGAATCTTGGAGCAACAACAACTACACTTTCCAAACAACAGCAACAGAAGAAGAAGAAGACGACCTTTATGGAATTATCAACAAGAATTTTTATTCTCCTTCTCCTTCAGTGGGGCATACTGGTAGGGATTCAAAGTCTTCCACTGAAGCTTCCAATCTTCCTTCGAACTTCGTGCTCGAAGGTGCCGCCGCGCCAATCAGTCGTAGGCGCAAACGACGTCGCACTGCTATTGCGAAAAACGAGGATGAAATCGAGAGCCAGCGGATGACTCATATTGCAGTTGAGCGTAATCGAAGAAAACAAATGAACGAGTACCTTGCTGTGCTCAGATCTATGATGCCGCGTTCTTATGCTAAAAGGGTCAGTTTTATTATTTCATTTTTACACCATTCCAATTGTTTAACGTTTTGCTTATCTCAAGTTTCAGAGTTTAAGTTTAGATATTCTTCGTTTGTCAAATTCAACTTTGATCTTAAACATAGATGCTATACCTGTAAGATAGCTCTTAAATATTATAGTAGCTTCTAAAGTTGAATTAATCTTAACTCAAATTTTCAAATGCTATTACAAATTTATTTAATCACCCAATCACCTATTATCAAATTTCTGCTATCAAATCATTTCCTATTTATATTTATACATCAAATTCAATAATATTAAACACGAGAGGTGTGTAAAGAATCTTAAATCAAACAATATATTTATAAATAGTCATCATCTTAGAAGACTTATTTTGCAAGATTGACTTAAGCCCGACTATATATTTTAAGATGATATTAAAGTTAGTATAAAAGTGTGGATAATCCTTATTTTGCGAGATGATTCTTTTATCGGACCACAAAATGTGTTAAGAGTTTCAAGTTATATAGTATACAATCTAACCATATGTTTGTAAATAGAAACAATTCTCATCTTACTGATTATAATTATAAGACAATTATTTCAATTGCATATACATTACAATCATGTGTTTTTCTAAGATTGAGTTAGATCAAACCATAATTTTATCATAATCATTTGTCATTTGCATAGATATCGCAACTGTATGTTTTAGATCAAATAATAATTCTAATAATCATTTGCAATAGCATAGATATCTCAATTTCAAACATGTTTTTATATTTGTTGAATATCATTCAAGTATTTAGTATTGAGATTTTGAATTAAAGATATTTGTAGTATTTGATAGGTCTAGAATAATTTTATTTTCTTATAATATTATTATGTATAATTTTTTATATCTTAATTTTAGATGTATTTATGAAATAAATTTAAAAATTATCATCGAGAAGTATATTTTTTTTGTGTATGACATAGTTCTACTTTGAGAGTCGAAGTAAGATTTAAATGAGAGGTGGAGAGTTGAAGACGAGTTTTATAAATATATGTTTTCGATTAAGCAAAAGTAAGACATAGTATATGGAGTGTAAGTTTAATAAAATAAAAAGTTTTTCTCATTTAGAGGTGAAAGTTGGAGACCATATCAATCCTAAAGTCATACGATTTAAATATTTTGAATCCGTAAAACAAAATGATAGAGAAATAGAAAGAGATGTAAACCATCATATTCAAGTTGGGTGACTAAAATGTAGGAGAACTTTCGACATTTTATGTGACGCAAATGTATCGCTCAAGCTGAAGGGAAAATTTTATCGAACTGCAGTAAGACCTGAGATGTTGTGCGAGATAAAATGTTGGATGATTAAGAGTCAGCACGAGAATAAAGTAAGTATATAAGAGATGATAATGCTTTGTTGAATGTATGGTAATACTATACGAGATAATATTAAATGTGTTGGACTATCATATAGTAGAAAAGATGATGAAAAATAGACTTTCATAATTTAGAAATTTAAAGAGAAGATCCATAGATTTTATAATAAGGAGAAATGATCAGAAGAAGAGAAGTCAAATAAATAGAAGAAAAAGAAACTTAAAAAGACTATAAAGAAATTTATTAAGAAATATCTTGAAATTAACTATTTAGAGAGAAATATAATTCTAAATAAAATATTTATATCGAAAGTTGATTTATTTAGTCGATATGCAAAAGAGATTTATTTAGTCGATATGTAAAAGAGACTTGGACTTAGTTGTTGTTATTGATTTTATTGTATGATATATTTTTATTATTAATGTCTTTAGTGCCATATATATATATATATATATATATATATATATATATATATATATATATATATATATATATATATATATATATATATATATATATATATATATATATATATATATATATATATATATATATATATATAATTCAAAAACTCCTTTTTGTACTTTAGTTTAATAACAAACTCAAAATTGCCGATACTAAACTCTCTACCAATGGTTTCAAAAACACAGGGTGATCAAGCATCAATAGTTGGAGGCGCAATCAACTTCTTAAAGGAGCTAGAGCACATTATCCAATCCATGAAAGGACAAAAGAAAATAAAAGAGCAACGAGCACATGAAAATGGATTCAGTAATAGCTCATCATCATCACCCTTTGCTGATTTCTTCATGTTCCCTCAATACTCCATGTGTGCACTTCAGAGCAACACGTGCTATCCTGCTAACCCTAATCATTCACGTGCCATTGCAGACGTTGAAGTGACATTGGTTGATTGCCATGCCAATATAAAGATAATGTTGAAGAAACAAAATGGACATGTGATGAAGATGGTTATTGGGATTCAAAACCTTGGCCTCAATATTCTTCACCTAAATGTTTCTACTCTCGATCATTTGGTTCTTGTCTCGGTTAGCGTTAAGGTAAGTTGACTTACCTTTTTTGCTAATTTATTTATCTACTGAATACAAAATAAATTTACATGAAAAATACAATAATATCTAAAAATAAGTTTGTGATCCTTCTGAAAATCGTGAATTTTGTTTAGTTTTTTTGAATTTTTTTTTTTTAATTTTCATTTATATTTTTGATCATTATTATTTATTTGATCTAACGAAAACTGACGCCACATATTATGATGTATGCCACGTTAAATTTAACACTACAAAAAATAAGATAAATTGTGTAATTCTAAACAATATTAAAATAATTGAAAAAGCAATAATTTCTTACAAGAAATTAATCAAAATAGACAAGCTTAGAGTTGTTAATATAGGTTACTCGGTGTTAAACGGATCAACTCTAATGAATTTGAATTTTTTAAGATTGGATTAAAAAAATCCTATTATAATAGAAGCCTTAAAATTACTATCTGAATCCAATCCTAAATGAAATTTGGGTTATTCGGTCTTACACAAATTTTTTTAATAAAAAAATTAAAATATAAAATTCATAAGATTTATTAGAAATAAAATTAAAAAAATTATAGTATTTTAAACATAAAATATTTTTAAATATTATATTATCTTTTATAAATATTATGTGTTTTTAAATACAATACATGTCTAAATTATAGAAAATAATATTTAATATATTTAATATTACTGAAACTAATAAAATATGAATAAAGAATATTTATTATAATAATATACAATATTTAAAAGATAAAAATTAAATATAATAGAGATAAAATTTAATAAAATAAAAAAAACAAATATATTACTTTGAAATAATACAATATAAAATTTAATATATATTTTTTTAATTTTATAATTATGTGGACCTAATGAAGTACCTATAAATCATAGAGATTAACTGTAATAAAAACTTTTAACATACAAATTCTAATTTAAAGATCCAAGTTTTATGATTTTTACGTACCGGCCATATGGATTAAACCATTTCGACAGCTCGAGATAAGCTGATGATAGTATACAAGACAAATTTAAACTTTGCTTTTTCTCAATTTATAGATAATAAATTACATTCTCATCTGATTTTCTATATCTCTAATTTATTTATTTTTAAGTAGGTTAGATGTATGCCTTACACTATCAGTCATGTCTGCCTATATCTATACACTATAAATAAAAATTATTTTACGTACAGTGATGTATATTATTTAAGGAGTTCAAAAACAAATAATTCCTCATATATTCCTCGTATATCCATAAAATATTAATAAAACCTTTTTTTGTTGTATTATTTTATTTATAAAACTTCCAATTGATATTAATAAAACGTTATTAACACAAGTAGTGCATCTTAATGGACAAAGTTACAAGTGGAAGCTAAAACCAACCCTACCAATAAGTATACAAAACCAGCAACTGAATATAAAAACCAGAAGGAAAAAAAAAGAAAGGAAAAACGCAATTTAATTGTACTTAATCATTTTGGTAATGTAAATATATTTAATTGAAATAGGTAGAGGAAGGGTGTGAACTGAAGACGGTGGATGAAATTGCAGCTGCTATGAATCAACTATCACTGAAAATCCAGGCAGAAGCTGTATTATAATATGAACAAGAGAGAGAGAAATAGAGTTGAAGATTGAAATATCATATACAACAAGGGAGGTGCATATAGGCATGTGCCTCAAAGTTATATAAATTAGGATATTCTTTATTCTATATTTCCTTTTATGTCTTCTTCTCTTTTCTCACTGCAACTACAAATTAAATCTTTGAAGGGACAATCACTTTGTTGTGTAGGCCCATACTTACTCCATGTGTGTATCTATTTGTCAATTATTTGCATTATTTCGAGATCTTGACCTTTGTTAATTTCTTTGGATTTTTTTGTGGGACTCTTACCATTATTATGTTTTTTTAATGTTAAGTTTGTCTGTAATTTATCAAAAGTTAAAGAGTTTTTCTTTAGGTTTTATTCTAATCTTGTTTTTTGGGCTTTTATTTTGGAATAAATATTGGTAATTAGTTTGTTAGAAGAAAAAAAAGAAGATAATTATTGTTTCGTATAGCTATGGATCTTTTGTATAAAACTCATTTGATGTTTCAACCCAAATCACTGAACTACTCCTTTGAGCATCTCACAGTTTTTTACTGATAATTAGATAGATCACATTACAAACAAAATATGCTGCACAAGGACCACCTTATCATATGATATATGTGATCGGTGGATCTGGAACTGACTGTTTAACGCTGGTTCGCGAAATGTCGCGGAAGCAAGAGTCGCCACCGTCTTTTATTTTCTCCAAATGGAAAGGACAAAAGCACAGAAAAATTCCTTTAAAGAGATTGCTCTCGGTTCGGGAGGTAGGTTATAGAAAGGGAAGGTGTTAGCACCCTTTCTATCCATGGTTATCCATGGGCTCTTAGATACTTGCTCATTGTGTTTTCAAAATTGTTTGCTTGCTTTTCAATGTGGGTTTAAAAAAAGTTTCTTTGAAAAATTTCAGTTCGACTCGTACGTCAGAGTGTTTGAAAAGTTTGCTTTGAAAGCTTTTGAAAATGTGTTGGTGAAAAGATTTTTGTTTGTTTTTGAAGTTAGAGCAAGTATCCTTGAGAACCTACCTACCCTAAGGAATTCGTCTGTGTAAATGTCCTTTAAAGTAGTGCCATCCCACCATTGAGAGGTAGGTAGCACCACCGTTGGAGGTGTTCGGGTCAATTCGAGTTTTAGGGACGTGGTGATCACCAGAGCAATGGGAAGACACCTTAGAAGCTACCCTCACGCCAGGTTCCCGGATCATGAGGACTTACTAAGACATCCTCTACTCGACGACCACCTTTCGAGGCAAGGCAACAGTGAGGCGTACCCTAGGGGTGGTGTGTGCGAATGGTGTGTCGTTTTCATTGATATTTGTCTTGTCATGTTCATTGTGATCTACGCTTGATTTTAATTAAGACATTCATTCTTGCATGCTTTTTAACAATTAATATTTGCGGGAAATATAAATCTAAACTATTACAAATGGCGCGGGTCCACATCGCCAAAATAAACCGGACCCGATTTAGCGGAAAAATAAATAATGCGAAGAAATAAGGTGCGAAAAGTAAATTACATGGCTTAGGGACAATTACATAATTACAATTAAACGACATAAGATAAATGCGTAAATTAAATAATTGAAACGAAACTAGGGCGTTGGACCCTTTTGCAAATAATTAAAAGTTAATGAGAATTAAAAAATTAAATGATTAAATGTTTTTTAGTATTTTGTATTTTTTTAGATTTAATGAAGAAAAAGGAGAATTAATTAAAATTAAATTAAACGGCAAACCCTAATTCTAATATTTTTTATTTATTAAGAAAGAATTAAAATATGACCTAAATTAACTTAATTCATTTATGTACAATTTAAATAGGAAAATAAATAAATAAATAATAATTATTATTGTGAGAAAAGGGAAATAAAAAAAGAATTAACAATTAAAACCTAAATTCTACATTTTTTTGGATTTTTTATTAAAAAAGGAATTAAAAATAAAAACCTAATTACACTACATAATTTACATTCTAATTTATTTATGAAAATAAAATAAATATTACATTTTTCTGTATTTTCTGATTTTTATAATGTTTTTTATATTTTTGTTAAAAATAATTAATTAAAACAAATAATTAAAATAAACATAACAATTAAAATAAATGAAAAAAGGAAATCAAACCAGAGTGGGGTGTAGTCCCCAATTTAGGAGGTATGGATTTAGAAAGCCTGGCCCAATAAGCTTGATTTTGCTGACTTTCCATAATTCCATATGATGCGTTTGACTCATGCCTAGGGTGTACCCTGAAGCCTGGACATTGATTTGATCATTGTGGACGCGTGGCCAATGGGATGCTGATGGAATATGGTGATCCTCCTCAAGCGCGCTGCATAAGAATTTTTTGTGAAAAATAATGTGAAACTTTCACCAGACCTGGGACTTGAACCCAGGTCTTGAAGGTTACAAACGCGTCCCCTGGCCAGCTGAGCTATGCAAGTTCATTTAATATATAATATATCATAAATAATATAAAAGAACAATAAAGCTAGTTGGTTAAACACGCGCGAAATTTAAACGGACGTATCACTGATTGACACGCCATCTTCTTCCTCACCACCCCTGTAACATAAAACAAAAGAGCAACGGTTTTTGAAACGTTGCTTTAGGGGGTATTCAAGAAAATAGCGAATAGAACCCTGGGCATCATAAATTGTTCGCGAGTATGCATTCTTCTTCGTCTTGGTGCGCTGAACTCAAATATGGTATTGAGATGGCCTAATTTTTCTTCTACACAAAATCCCTAATTCGAGCTCCTGAAAACCCTAACTTTTGGCAATGGCATAATCGTATACAGTCAATAAAAACATAATTAAACACCACAGATAGCTTTAGAATTTCACAAAGAATAAGAATCAACAAACAAAATTCATGAAAGATGCTTAGAATATGATATGCGATTTCAATATTTTCTTGGTTCAGTTTGACTTAGAGGTACCGATTCAAGGTGTTTTGCTGGTTGTTAATGATTGAGAAACACTCAGTGATGTCTCAGAATGCTAATGGGATGAAAATTGGAGCTTGAATCACCCTAAAACCTTGATTTCAGTATTGGTGTTTTTATGAAAAATTTCAAGAATGTAATGGAGTTTGGGGCGCAGCTTGCAGTCTAGGAGCATTAGGGTTCTCATTCTGATCATATATGGAGTGATTAGGTCAAGAAACATTGGACAAAATCTTAAGCATTCATGGATTTCAATATTTGATTTTGGAAAATCTTTTTCAATCTTTTTCTCATGTTTCTTGTACCAAATCTGATCAATTAGCACCAAAGCTTGCCTATTTGAGATGTGCACGATTTGTAGAGATTAGAATGTGCACAAAAAGATTTTTTTAGGTTAGTTTGATATTTTTCATATATTAAAATCATTTAAATGAATATAAATTAATATTAATTCAAATAAATAATTAAAAAATATGAGAATACTTCCCTTTGGGCCTAGTGGTCGTGCATAGGCTTGGCATGAAGGAACTTGGAAGAAAAATGGGCCCATTTGCATTTTTAGGCCTTTTGCATCAAAGTTGACTTTCAAAAATTCCTAAAAATTTCCCAACTTCCACAAGGCATAACTTGGTCAATTTTTAAGCTTTTCACATGTTCTTGGACATTTTGGAAAGGTCTTTGAGTCCTTTAACCAATGCCTTTGGTCCCATGTCATTTTGATTTACCAATCTCAAGTTATGGCCTTTGACTTAAAGTCACTTTTTGTTGACTTTTGAAAATGACCTATAATGTTGAAATTGATAACTTTTTGTGAGAGCATTTCTTGGACTTGGAACATGAAGATGAATTGTAGGAAATGTCTTTATCTTCAAAATGAGCTTTGGATGGAATTTTTCTGATAATCCATGTGAAAGTTATGCCCTGGTCAATTTCAGTTGACTTTTTCAGCTGTCCAAATATAGCAACTTTTGCATCTTGATGATTTTCTGAGCCAAATTTTGAGAATCATGATCAAGCATTGATCAAATGATGTTTGTGGCTTCAAAATGATATGTTGACCAAAAATTTGAACTTTTGACTGTCAAATGACCATTTTGCCCCTACAGTTGACTGTAGTGCAATCTAGGGTTTTGACTGTGCAATTTTGAGCTGAATGCCTTGAAACTTGTCATGAGGATGCTTGACCATCTTTGTAGGCATGTGAGACTTGATTGGGCCTTTGAAAAGTTCACTTGCTTGACCAAAACTCAAACCCTAGTTTTGACTGTCTAGGAGACAGTTGAGCTGCACAACCCTTGGGGAATTTTGTGACCTTGACTTGACAATTCTTGGAGAATATGGGAGGGCAAATTTTGGGGTACAACAGTTGCCCCTGTTCAATCTTCTTAGACCTGAGGATGCAGATTGGCTGACGTGCCTTTCGTAATCCGAGGATAGAAGATGATTGGACACTAGAGTGCCCAGAAATTTGCGCTCACATAGTAGCAATGATGATGAGGGAATGGGCTTATAGATGCCATTTGGATGTTGCTTGGGTAGGATGATGGGCTTATAGATGCCATCTGGATGCTGATTGCGTAGGAGATTCCTTAGCGAGAACCTGCATACCTGCAAAACAGAAAAATGAGTACCTGACACGTCGCAGGAGCTGATTTTAGATGCTTGATATAGATATGTCCTGACTGGTTACAGGAGCTGGGTCTGGAGCTTCAAACGCTGATGAATGAACCAGAGATGGTTACTGCCTTAGCATGAATGGTAAGAGAATCCTGAATGATTTCAACCCCAACAACGCTCGTTGAGAAAATCTTGGTGAGAATTACCATCTTCGTAGTGTCAGGAAGAGAACCAAAGGACATTATAATCTCAAAGGGAGTCACCTCACTCACCGTTGGAGAGGGAACTATAGGAAATTAATCTGAAAGGAAATATCACCTCACGCTCATGCCGGAGAGGGAAACATCTGAAGAAGGAATTACCACCTCACACGCCGTTGGAGAGGGGACCATAAGAGAATATCACCTCACGCTCATGCCGGAGAGGGAAACATCTGAAAAAGGAAT